AGAGGGCCAAAACACTCTGGGTCTCGACGACCTGACTTCAAAACGCATCCACGGCTACAGCTTGGGCGGTGGTCTCTATGGGGACTTGCCTCCCACCAGTCATGAGAACCAGCCAACAGGAGCACCAGGAGGTGCTGCTATGCAGGGAGGGCTTCCTCTGCCTTTCCCCAATCCAGCACCAGAGGTGGACCTGGCCCCAGAGGCTCCCCAGCCCCCTGTCACCCTAAACCCCACTCCTGTCACAGCCCCATACCTACCAGAGACCCACAACGAGCCACGCAAAAAGAAGTATGCCAAAGAAGCTTGGCCGGGCAAGAAACCCACCCCTTCACTACTCATCTAATCCGTTTCTTGAAGCTGCTGACTCTCAGGTTACCAGCAGATACATCAGGGACTATGACCTGGCAGAGGAAGTCATCACTTCTCATTTTCTGTTTTTATTTGTTGTGTTACTCATCATCATTACAAAAAGGCACCACGCAATTTCCCCTGTCGTCTGTCACGAGATAACATTTAAATTACTAAGTCAGCAGTTGATAAGTCGGCCAGAAAACCGTAGAATCTTGTCGATTGCAAACAAAATGAACATAAAAGACTTGGCAGTGAGCATTTGAGCCTCGGAGTACTTGGTCCGTATGTGACAGGTGACATGGATATGATGGGCCATTCAGTTATGATTTTGATGTGTTGGATGTAAAGTTGGATTTTTTTCTACTAAACTCGTTTCAACCTTTTTTTCACTTCTTTAGTATTTTGATAATGCTGTTAAACAAATGGCAAAAAAGTACTTTTATATAAAATATTTTACTGTGAGAAGTAAGGAAAGTCAGAGAATTCAGACCTGAAGTCAGTTTCTATCAAAACACAGGGCTGCGTTTTATTTTGAAACCTATTGATATAATATGATCAGGTGTTTTATTCACTGAAACATTTCCATTACATGCGTTAGACCAACATAATATCAACTGAAGTGTCTTGTATTTGTTCTAATAAGCCACTAGATGGTGACTTGTGCACAAAGGTTTTCATTGAGGATTGACTGCAAACTAGCAGGTACCATCATTAATGGCCTGTTACACTGACCTAATCTGTGTCCAAAATCTGTATGTGGCATCCCATGAAAGTGGTGCTGCAAACTTGTAGTTATTCATTTGGACTCTTCTGCAGATAAAAAGCCATTTGCACTGTCTAAAAAGTATGTTGATCATATTTGTCCTTTGGCTTTTTCCAGTATATTGAGTTTTAAATGGTTTGTCGGCCATTTCCCCAGCACCAGTATACTGTAAATACAAGGATTTTAAAGTACATGAATTGGACTGTTGTTTATTCGTAACAGAACATAGCAGAATTGAAATGGCAGCACATTAACAAATACCAACTTAACTGCAAAATAAAAAGTTAGTAAAAACAGAAATATTTGGATTTAGTATGCTTTAATGGTCATCATATTTAGTTTGAACTGACTTGAGACATAAATTCTTTGCACAGTAGCAGAAAAAGCAACAGTGTCATACATGTAATAAACTGGTGGAGCAAAGTAGTACTTCCAGTGTAAAGGTCCTGTGAAGTGGGGGAATTACCTCTTTTGGGGGCATTTTTGCTTTTATTCTAAGGTGGACAGTAGAGAGGTGACAGGAAATAAAGGAGGAGCAAGGGAAAGTGACCTGCAAGAGAAGCCCTCAACCAGAATCGCACCCAGTGGTTTCAGTAAATCTTACATCTTAACCACGAGGCCACCGCAACGCCTCTTTGTATTTCCTTTTGAAAAAAAGTGTTGTGGGGACATTTGACCGTAAGGTTAATACTACATGCACAATGATTAGATGACAAATAGTTGGACTTTTAAGTTCACCTTTCACCACTAAAGATCCACTGCTGTCTAGGAAGGAGCTGTTTTTTAGGAAGTTGCCATTTCATGGGATCTTTAGATAAGTGAAAGGTTTGAGATCAAAAACAGACGAGGTGTTTCACGTTTACAAACTGTGCTGGTGACTTTTTGTCCTTGTGGGTGTGTGGATTTTGTAATCATACGACTGTAAATAAAAAATGAATTACTTTTGACTCATAACTCTCTACAGTGATTTCAGCTGTGATTAATAATGGTGCATTGCACTTGCTGATATTAACTACCTGTATTCCAAATGTATACCAGATAAAAAAAAGGTCCTCTAAAAGCTTCTTAGCAACCAGCACAGGTTAAGAACAAAGGTTATCCAGTGTATTAAGAGCTTATTGTATACTGCACATAGGTATGTGCAGTATACAATACAACTTTATTTTGGTGGGAAACATTGACCTGATTTCTTTTTATCTCCAGACCTACTTTGGACCTGGTTATAAATGAGTTCATGTGGCACAGACTCAAATCTCTTTCATGACTGGCCAGACACGACTCTTGACACAATGGTAGTAAACTTTGCTAATGTTTAAGTACGGTTTATGGAAATAAATAAACTGAACTTGAACAAACACAATGTTAACAGGCTTTATGAATATGCTCAGAACTGAGAATATTATATTGGATAATGCATTTACAAATTAAAAAGAAATTGTTATTTAATTCATTTCTTTTTTATTAAAAACTGATTTTACCACCATGTAGGTCCTATTTCTTTTACACATATAAACTGCAAAAATGTCTCATTAAAACTGCCCCACTGTGAGAAAATGATTGTAGAATACAAATGCAGCTTCTAGTTTGGCAAGTAATCAGTCACTAAATAAAAGTCACAAAATACTGCACAGTTCATCATTTCATCATGATTTGTTAGCAATGTTATGTCAGTATATAAACTTAGTAAAGTGTTAGAAATTAATACTCAAAATAAAATTTTCAGTAGTGTATTTTCCAGGTTTCCATAATTTCCTGCACATATTTCCCTTTACACTTGTGGGTCTACAGGTTTGATCTTGATGTGGATGCCATTGAGTGAACGCAGCACCAGTCTAGGAATTATCTTGGGTTTCCAGTTGGGGTCCTCTATCAGGTGGTATTTCTTCAGTGTCAGGGCTATCACCACTTTCATCTCATTCATGGCAAAGTTCTGACCAATGCAGTTTCTGAGGGAGGAAAACATAAAAAACAGCAACATTATGAGGAACATGATAAATTAAATGCTTTTAAGCAATGATATAATAGGACAGCAACATGTCATCAGTACCATAATTAGTATTATTTTTGTAGTATGAACTGACATAATATTAGAATAGAGTGGACAAAAAATGTGTGAATAGTCCTGCACTAAATGTCCATATGATGAAGCACATGATAAATTGCCAAAAGGATTCACCACATTAGTTCTTACTGCAGGGCTATTGTGTTGTAAAGTGTTTCTTTTATGTTGTCCATAAATCCAAGTTCATAGTGTGTCTAGTAGTGTGTCTTTTCTGCTTTGTTTTCCTTCACTATTAAACTAAATCTGTAAGCAGAAATTATATTTGTCCATCTCAATCTTAAAGTTTTGGCAGATGAGCATTAATGTGACAATCGATTAAAATATTTGTTTAATTTTCTTCTTTTTGACACAGCACACGCAGCACCTCTCTGGGTAAACATGATAAGAAAACTGATTCCAGATAAGGGACACATGCACACAATGTTGTTCAATAAAATCCAAAGATCTGCAAAGTTTAGACGCTCCATTAAATACTAACTCCTGTTCTGTTTTGTAAGCTCAAGTTTGTACTGTACATTCACTGACATGATTCATATTATACTGGAGAATAATCCACCTTATCACACATCAAGCCTAATATCCTAACAAGTATTTCCCCTTGGGGTTTGTGTATTCTTTTAAATTGGATCAATCCTAGGTGAAACTACGTTCACCCTATCTCACAAGCCTGATTTTATTGTGTTGGTGAAAAGAGGGGTGGTGCTAGGTTAAACATCCACATACAGCATACATTTGTCAGATAAATGAATAGACAGTGGGTAGCTGTAAACTGAGATCCTACTTCACTAGTTTTTAATGACCCAGTCACAAGGTATCAGCTGTGGACAAACCTTGGCCCAGCAGAGAAGGGCACAAATGCATGAGGTGACCTCTTGGAAACATTCTCTGGTAGGAAACGCAGTGGGTCAAAGACCTATGTTGAGACAAGACAGTAAAAACAAATGGCAGTGTGGTGTTAATCATTTGGGAGCTGGCCAGCTAACCAACTCCAGGTTTAACAATTAAAAGGATAGTTCAGGTTTTATGAAGTGGGGTTGTATGAGGTACTTATCCATAGTCAGTGTACAGCAGACAGCGGTGGGCACGCCCCCTGTTTGGAGAAGCAGAAAGGAGTACCAGCACAGAAAAGCTAAGAAATGCACTGCTGTGTACTGGGGCTGAAGAAAAATGTATTTTAGCCACCTAAAAAATGTCCCACCTCAGTTTAACTGTATGCTATATTTAGAATATCTTCACCTCTTTATCTTGCTGTCAGATGGAAAACTGAAGCCTTTATATAGCACTCTCTCCACCAGACTCCTCTGACAAAAACAGTAATTTTAGTTAGTTAGTTGGTAAATTGCTGTGAATTGAGGCAGCGGTGGACCAGCAACTCCTGTATCCTGTGAGGTTTATATTAGATTTTGTCGAAGGAGTCTGGTGGCTTTGATGATACCAACTTGTATAAATTGGCTTCTGTTTTAACGTTGAAAGGGCTGTTCTGGACGGCAATGTAAAAGCAATTAACAATCTCTAAATAGTATAACACTTGAAACTAATAAAGAATTTTTTAGTGGGCTTAAGTATGTATGCCCCCATTCCACAGCGTGCATTGCTTTAGCTATCCGTATTGGTACTCCTGTTGCTACACCAACTGGGGGCGGTGTAGACTGCTTCCTACTGTACACTGACTATGGATAAGAACCTCATCCAACCCCACTTCCAAAAAACATAACTATCTCTTTAATTAATCAATTATGCACTAATTGTATGACTACGTCACTTCTATCATTTGACACAGGTTATACAGAAGCAGGGTGCTGGGCTAGCACAGCAAAGAGAGATCATAATTGTACTTTCATCACTGGTTCTATTAACAATGTACACCATGTAGTGAGCGGGAACAGGTGAGCTTTCACTTCACCAAGATTTCTGCTCAGATTGACATCTTGACTTACATCAGGGTTTTCCCAGACAGTTGCATTCCTGTGAATCCCAAACACACTTGTGCCAATGTAACTACCTACAAAAAAGAAAAGAAATGTGTGTTTTAGTTTAGGTGATAGATTGTGCAGGGACTGGACACATGCAAAGTGTATGAATATCAACAGACCAAACTATAATATACAAGTGTGCTTCCGCTACTATTTAACGCCTGAACGAGCAACAGCCTGTCAGCGTCAGTTTGACCACTACAACCGGCTATGTCGTCAATCATTGGACAAACCCACATAACCTTTGGAAAATGTATTTTAAATGACCCAGAAGACATCTGGGATATTTTCATTTGATAAAATGGTGCAGCCATAATAATACAGCATATGGGGTTTTGTATGTGGAATTGTTTTAACAACCTTAAAGCTACTTTTGGGAAAACAAAAGAGGAAAATGTTATAAAATAAAAAAATATTTCATCCTTTACCAGTAGGGTAAAAGTTATTATGTATGCAAAAGTATGCCTTATCTACATGAACTTTCCAAAAAAATTAACAACAAACCTTCCGGCAAAGTCCTTCCATCACAAAAGGTAATAGGTTTGGTGATTTTTCTGGACATTCCTGGTACAGGCGGGTAAATACGAAGGGATTCTTTTATGCACATTGTAGTGTATGGAATTTTACTGAGATCCTCCCTTAAAAATAAGACAAGACACAAGGTTTGGTTAGTTGTTGACATTCTAAACAATAAAGTGCCAGCCAAAACCTCACCTACAGCAGCTGTTGTTAAACATACTGGCACTACCTTGCATAGCAATGTTTTCAACACTACACTAAGCGTACCAGTCCATGGTGTCTTTGCCATCCAAGACTTGCATGATTTCATCCCTGCAAATCTTCTGGTGTTCTGGGTGGCAGGCCAGACTGTAGAGGATGAAAGAGATGCCACTGGCTGTGGTGTCATGGCCCTCAAACATGAAGGTGTCCACTTCTGCTCGTATATCTTCATCTGACAGACCCTGCTGTTTCTCATCCTAAAGGTGAGATAAAAGACCAAACTATAAAAAATAAATGGGAAATAAACATACTATTTGTGCCATTACTGCTACGAGTACAACTACTATTACCACTACTACAACTAGTAGGAATAGTAACTATCTACTTTACTTGTAAAACACTTTAAAAAGTAGTGTACGTAACAATGAAACTGTGATAAAAAAGCATAAAATATGCATTAAAAATAATGGCAGGTTGGTACTGAGTAATGGAAGTCACAGAGATAACGTGAGTCTACTTGTCCACCAGGTCAAAAGTGGAGCTGGCAGAGACAAGCTTTTTCTCTCAGTAAATGTTGCATCCAAGGACATGACATATTTTAATATTTGCCTATATACTATATTGACTTTTGATAAAACTGTCTTATCTTTTTATCTGGTAAAGGGCTGTACATGATGGTATATCAGCAAGAAAGTTGAGGTGAGTTAGGCACCGGCAGCTTAGGATGTTTACAGCAAGCAGCATTGTCCTATCTTGTCTTAATCAGCCCCTGCACAAAGAATTTAAAAGTTTTAGTCTTCAAGCCGCTGCTCAAGAGTGTTTCATAAGAAGACAAAAAGCCTGACTGCTGCTTTTGTATCTGTGGCCATTTATATGCTGAACATGAGACAGCTTATGCACATTATCAGCAGCCTTCTTTGTTTCCTTCTGCACTGGGGTTTTTCCCCCTGTGCATGATATTTACACATTCTGCCAAATTCTAATATGATCTCAGGTGTTATACATGACTTATTGTTTTTATTATATCCTCTCAGTTAAACAGTGTAACTTTTGCACATGCATGCCATTTTTCAACTCTTGTTTCTACATTGTGTTCAGACTGGGAGATAACAAAACAGTTGCATTTATTGTTATTTATTTATATACAAATTGCTTTTTTTCACACAGAAAATTGGTCAGGAATCGATTGATC